GTACGACAGAGGCGGGAAACATCGAATATTTGGATGTTTTGGGGATAAAAACTTAAAATTAGTTATTCAATAAAATGAACAGTTTATCTCTTCCTTCGGTACGACAGAGACGGGAACAAAATCTGGTTTTCAATAGCCCATTTGCGAATAACCCTTGGCCTCATTTTCAAAACGAGTCCTCGTGCTGAACCATTATTGTGAAAATGAGTTTAATTTGCATATGAATGGAAACTTATTATCATATGAAAGGATTAGCACGAGGACTCGTTTTGAAAATGAGGCCAAGGGTTATTCGCAAATGGGCTATTGAAAACCAGATTTTGTTCCCGTCTCTGTCGTACCGAAGGAAGAGATAAACTGTTCATTTTATTGAATAACTAATTTTAAGTTTTTATCCCCAAAACATCCAAATATTCGATGTTTCCCGCCTCTGTCGTACCGCAGGAAGAGATAAACTTTTTTTTTTTTTTTTTTTTATTAAATACAACTTGTTTTAAAGTTTTACCCGTAAAACATTCAAATATGCCGTTTCCGGCTCAGTCCTTCATCACTGCAGTATTGTAATATCATAGAGTGTTAATGGAATGTGTTATTTGTTACTGGTATAAACAGGTAATATATTTCCGCTTTGTATGCTTATTCCAACAGGTTTTTGACGTGCTGCTGAGCTTTTTACAGATTCCTCAGTCAGAGTTCATGTTGAGACATGTGTTTGCAAGTCTTAGATCCTACATTAACAAGGTGAACAATGGACAGCTTAACTGAACACTTTATTATCCCTTTCCATCCTGCAACCTCGCAGAGGAAAACAGATGGAAAACACTACACTCCGTTTTCGTGTTAGTGTATGAATGTAAATAATTTCGCCTCTGGTTGTCAGTGAACACAGAATGCTATTACGGTGGTGCTTGGAGTTTTTCAAGATATTTGGTGCTGATGGAACGGTTTCAGAATTTTAATCCAGCATCAGTTTGTCGCTGGATCAGAGCTCAGGAACTGTCTGCTCTGTTGAGTATTGTTAAAAGATGCGCTGAAACTAATGTACCACCAGGAACATTTCAAGGTTTTGAGTGAAGCTGAACAAAATGTGATCGGTTAGTCTCCCACCCCTCCTCTCCCTCCTTCCTCTCCCTCCTTCCTCTCCCTCCTTCCTCTCCCTCCTTCTTCTCCCTCCTTCCTCTCCCTCCTTCCTCTCCCTCCTTCCTCTCCCTCCTTCCTCTCCCTCCTTCCCCTACCTTCTCTCCCTCCCCTCTCTCCCGCCCTTTCCTTTCGCTCCAAGATCACCTCGCACTTCACGCTGCAGTTTTCATAACAGTATGGCAGTTCTCAAAAGGGGAGTGGGCACCACTCTATCCTATGCTACCAATTTTTGAAATGTTCTTTTTAACAAATGGTAAACACCACAGCGTACACTATTGAGGTATGGATGCACGCGGGAGGTTGCTAAGCGCGAAAGAAGCGTAAGAGTCGCGCGAGGCGATAGCCGAGAGCGACTCTAGCTTCTTGAGTGCTTAGCAAACCTCCCAAGTGCATCCATAACTCAATAGTGTACGCTGTGGTGTTTACCATTTGTTTTATAACATAACATTGATACATCGTAGCTAAAGAGTTCCCTTTTATTTAACAAATCTTACGTGACCAGAAAATACAAGCGCGCGCGGAAAAATTGTCTTTGCATTTGCTCACGTCAGCAGCGTACACCCATGGGCAAATGGGGGACGCTGAATTGACCAATCAGAGCGCGCCCTTTACTTTGGTTAAGTTATAAAATGTTTTCTTGTTTTACTTCAGTTTCCAGCTGCTTTGTACAAGGGAAGTGCCAGCTATTGTGGGGATCTTTGTCGTGAGGTAAACATTCCAGTTTAAGCGGAACATTTTTCGTTCAATGAAAATTTTCACCTCTTGCAGCTTGCTTTCATCGTTATCTCTTGGTTTTGTCATATTTTCATTTGCTGTGAAAAAGCTCTGTATTATTTATGCGTATGTATCTATATTACTTTATCTTCCTTGGGTAGATTTTAAGCTGCTGCAACTCAAAAATGGAAAGTCTACGAAACCAGGTGCGTGAATTACTAAATAACGTCTTGTCACCTGTCAGTCAAAACTGAGCTAAAACGACCTTTGAAAATCTTTATATAGGGAAGATATAATCGATCTATTGTCAGGCAATAAAATTTGTTGTCAAATATTCAAAATCAGACCATACCAAGATCCGTCAGTGTCGGCTAACTCCTTCTTGTCGGGTACTTCCTGTCGACACGAAAATCTAGGTTCACTTCTCGGTCACCTCAGATTTTTCTCAGTTCTAGCTCGCTCAGTTTATTGAATAAACACCGGAAGAAGGATAAATTGCTTCTTCGATGAAGAGAACAAGGCGAAACGTGCATGTGACCTGTAAGAAAGATGCTTTGGTTGCCTTTCATCTTGGCTGGTAACATTGGTTAAGAAATCACTGCTTTGGATTTGTAGAAGTGACTAAAATGTAAGAAACTGTGTCATTATTGCGTCATAACGTGAATTGTGCATTTGCACAACGACTTATGGCCGTTTTCTCATGGACAATACTACCATGTGCAAGTGTACGTGTTCTGCACAAGAGGATTTGGCTTGTGGTGTTATCGGAAATAGACGGATTTGGGAAGACTTTTATTCTTGCACGGGCCATTCTCCATTACCCATGGATAGACTAATGAGTAGCCACTTGCCGACGGAACTGCTTTCCATCGTTGGAGAACAGATTCGCATTTTTTTTACGCCCCTGATTTGCACAGTGTATTGTTTTCGTACTGTTATTTTGAAGACCCGTTCTTATTGTCTAACTGAGAGTGATGCCTTTTGCATTTGCAGGCCTGTTCGTTTCTCTACCTGTTGATGAGAAGTAATTTTGAATTCAGTGGAGGACAAGCCTGCGATCGAGTCCATTGGCAGGTATAACTAAATCACGTAGTTTAACCAAGACATCGAAGAGTTTTATAACCACATTTATACGAAAGGGAAAAGAAAATCAGAAGTAACCCTTTTCTGTTTTCATTTCCGCCTTTTGTGCAATAAGGCGTTAATATTTGTACCGTTGTGAGTTATTTAGTTGGACCAGTTTAGGGTACGAAGAGGAAGAAAGCGAAATCAGACGTGAAATCCGCTGCTCGCGTTTCCACTAAGATTAGTGTTTACTCGCATGATCGCTACTTTGGCTGTTTTGACAGAATGTACCCGTTTTTAACTCAATTTTGCCCCTCTTAGAGTCAGTAAAATCACGCGCTTTCGGCGCAATTCCGCAGAAGCATTTTTCCCACTCAATGAAGCGTTGAAGGGTAATCCTGTAATCCTGTAATCAAAGTTTAATGTCTTTTACGTGGGGCATGGTTACCCATATTGCCCGAGCCAGAGGGAATGAGAAAAAGAAAACACGCTGCTACCTTTTCGGTCTCAACCATGCATGTTATTTAGATCAGAATCTACCCATATTTGACAATCAAAGGGGAATTTTTTCATGGTACTAATCTATTTATTTGTACTATTCCGTACACCATTTGTGGCACAACTGTTAAACTTATATAGTATTTTCATTCCGCGAAAATGTGATGTACCCACAAATTAGAAATATAATTTTAATGTTCTATTTTTTAGTTTTGAATTTGTTATGACGCTTTTTTTTTACTGGAAAGCTTTGCTGATCAATTCAACAAAGATGGCAAATAGTCTTAAATGTCAATGCCTTTTTTTAATTTGAAATTTCGTCTAACCATCCTTTGTGCCGCGAAAAAATGAAAAATGCAAATAGGTGAATTGAGCAATGAATGTAAAGTTTGCCTTTAAAATGAAATGTTGTACTTCATTTGTAAAGGAAGTTCCGACTTACGGTTCTCTCTTTTTTTCTTTTCCCTCAAGCTTGACTTGTATTTTTCTCAGCGCTTCCTCAAGTATCTCATGGAAACCAACTTTTTAGCACCTTCCGCCAGAGTTGGTTTTTCATAAAACAAAAATTATTTATATCACTGGCCCCTTGCGGTTATAATTTCGTTGAAAATTAACATTTCTTTTTATCGCCAATAGCAGGTGATTACCGCGTGGTTATTTTTTCTGTCATTTTCTGTCATATTTTCACAATTTCCTCGTTCAAAGGATTTAAATTTGTTTTGCATTTTTTAATCGCTGCGTGCATGTGGTCTTGTACAAGGATAAATAAGAGTACAATCCCTTTCTTTACATTTGTAGCTTTTGCTGGTAATTTCGTGGGAAGAATTTGGCGCGACCAATTTCTAAATTTTAATACTTCATTTTCAAAGTCGTTCAGTTTTAAATCACATAAATGGCAGTTTTCAATTAAACTAAAATTATATCCGCGGTTTATGGTTTGAAGAGATCTTTGGAACTGCAGATTAACAGAGCTTGGTTGTTTGTAGCCGAAACTGTTGAAATAAGGCAATCAAAACCAGCACGAATGTCTAGAGAACAATGATTTACGATTTTTATGATTTACCATGTGAACTCACTTAGGTATAACCGATCTATCGTCCAAGATCATAAGTCGTGGTCGTGTCGAACATGGACGACATTAAACTAAGATTAATACTTTCACAATCATTTTATAATAGTTGGACAAGTGTTTTTTTTTTTTTTTTTTTTTTTTTTTTCTGTTATCCGTAAACCAAAGCTACATTTACTTTCCTGATTGCAGCGTATCAATACAGTTTTTTATTTTAATTTTTTTCGCTAGGTAATCGTAGCGGTCTCCAAGTTGATGGCGAATGGGCTAAACCGTTCAGCTGTAAACAACTCTCTTCTGGCGCTAAAGAAGTATGCTGAAGAGGACAAAGGAATGAAGGTACCTTTTTCTTAATTTTTTTTAAGTCTTGATGGTCTAAAAACGTAAATGAATGATAAATCAATCATTCAAACAATCAACGAGAATGCCTCGTGCCAGCTTTCAGCCAGACAGTAAGTCTTTTATAGCCTTATCTGACACCGTCGAGACGACGAAATGCTGTCCTCGGCTCGGCTTGTTTTGTTTGCTTCGTTTTTCCCTTGCTTTTTATAGACTTCGAGATCGTCTCGGTCCAAAAGACCGCAATAAAGGGTCAATATCATCCAATTGTGTAGACCTTGTCTAAGGAATTGTTTGAAACGGTTGCCAAGTTTGTCTCAGATTTGAGGGAACCTCTCCTGGGTACAAATGTTACTATTGAGAATTTCTGTGGCGGGCTATCCTCTAGCAAGTTTTCTTACAGTAAATTTAGCGATCGTCCGCGGTTTTTTTTTTTTTTTTTCAATTTACCGGCTCTCGCACTCTAAGCTTATTGGATTACTCGTAGTACTATTATATGTCGTAGATGAGTTCTTTCTTTGTTTTACCTGCTTTTCATTCCTCTATCAGCACACGGCTTTTCCTGCAGAGGTAAAAGACCTAACAAAGAAGATTCACACCGTTCTGCAGGCGACGGCGCAAATGAAGGTAGGTGTAGTTCTGGCTGAAAAGTTTCAGTTACAGTTTTTCAGCGAGTAGTTTTGGTGTTGGTTACCTAGTCTCCTTAAAGGACTGGGTACAAGGTTAGCCTTAATGGTGACTTTTGTCAAGAGTGTTGTGACCCTTATTCGATAAGAATATCGTTCGCACACTAAGTAATATAGTTAGAGGCGATTGTGGTGATCTCTCTTAACGACCGTAGTATCATTACATTCACACATAGATTTGGTGCCGAAGAAGGATTGTAAAAATGATACCCGTAGTGTAGGGAACTTGTTTACTGTTGAAACTTCGGTTCAAAAAATTGCCCTTGAGAACAATCTCAATTGGGCTCCGGTTACGCAAGTTATCCGGGATTGCTTTAGTTTTGCTTAACTTTGAGCTGTGATGGGTCCACAAAACTTGCGTTATTTTTTCAGTTGTGAGGCAAGGATCTTTTGTCATTTGTGTCATTCATACATGACGGAGTGTGCGTGAAAGAACGCCATGTCTTACCAAGAGCGAATTTGGTTCTCTTTGCATATGAAGTAATTCTTGACCGACGAACGTTTGCAATATGTATTTAGATTTAGAAAGGCAAACCTTTCGCCGTTTTATCGTAGCCGTCAGGGCTTATCACTTTTTTTTCCCAACGAGAATGCCATTCTGGTCATTTTAAGTCCTGTCACATCTCATTTTTACGAAGAAGTTCCATCATGGAGAAACAAAACCTCTTAAATGCCTGTAAGACGTTTTGTGTGATAATGTCGTATTTCCAGTTAATTTTGTTGTCTCTCGTCCTTTGGAACGGGTTTGAGAAAGCAAATCACATAACTTCATTCAGTTTTAAGTTTTAATTCACTGATAGCTAGGGGCGCGGAAAAGGGGAGTTCGGAGCGCTTACCTAATTCGTTTATTTTCGACCGTCTAACATACTTTTTGATCCTCTATAATTTTAGCACAAATTGTTCATTTTAATGCGTGTCTGATCACTAATTCAGACCATTAGCAAGTTTCAGCGGATTCACGGTATAATTAAACATAATATGGTGTTTATCAGTCAGACGATCACGAGCAACGACACTGATTTATACGGAGAAATCAGTTGGCGACACATCACATCACATCAGGAAATTAAAGATCGCTTTCGATTTCTGTAGACACACTGAAACTTTGTAGGTGACAGAACAATGTTTACAGATATAGGAAATTCGTTTAATCGTTAAATTCTCTTTAAGAAGGGCGTATAGTAATTGCGAGGACCAAGTCTCGCCATCGTGAACTGTGCTGACAGTTTTGATTTTTAAACGTGCTGTTGAGAACAAGAATCGTGATTCCGTCGAACTTTTCAAATCCTAGTCACTGTCTGTAACAATTTGAAGCGCTACTATGATACAAAACATGGCTTTACGAGTATCATCCGGAGAGGAAGTAAAACACGAGTCTTGCTCGAAAAATAGAAAGTTTTGCGTAAAGAAAAGAGAAAGTGTACATGCCATTGAGGAGTTCGCCGCACGGCAGTTGGTTTTCCTCCCTATTTTGAGCTCTCCCACACCTCTGACCGCGGGGACAATTAACCGAAAATTCTTTTTGGTACGTTTTGTGTTCTTTTTAGTGTCGTTTTAATGGATGTCAATTTTCTATTGGTGTATCTGAGAGCGATCTTGTTTAACCTTCTCTGAACAAGTTTAGATTTAAGGAGAAACAAGCTACAATACTGAAAACAGCTCGGTTTTTTCTAGAATCTGTGTGCTTTTATTTCTTAATTTTGTCGGCGCTTCTCAGTATTTCGCCTGCCTGGAGCCATAGAACACCTTGTTGATGATATTTGTGTGATTGCTCGTCTGCTGTCAACCCAGCATTTACTTATCCGTGGAAAACATTGGAGTTGGGTCGAATAGCCTTACTGGTGGCTTTCTGCTGATCACCGTTGTAGATCTTTGTTATATTTTCCCGATATTTGGTTATAACTGCAGTGTGTTTTGCAGGAACACGATGACATCCCAGAAGTCCTTGTTGACCTTCAATACAGTTTGGCGAAGTCTTACTCAAGCACGCCAGAGTTGCGCGAGACCTGGTTAGAGCACATGGCAGGCGTGCATGAGAATCAAAAAAATTACTCAGAGGTTTGTTTTGCGTGCGTGACGCAACGTGAACTATGCTAATGTTTTGTGTGATCTGATGGATAATCGCGTGCGCTTGATATCGTCGTGAATATACTCAGAAACCGGATAAAAGGGGAATGTTTATCAGGTCATAAGCGGCTTCTTTGATGTCTTCTTGGCTTGGAGGCTTGAAACCCCGTTGGTTTCAATCGACTTAACTGTTTCAAAAAAAAAACTTTTTCTTAACATTAAAACCCAAACACAACATACTCAAGGCGTCGTAGCTGTGAAACGATCCGTGATCGATTTAAATCACATTGTAATAGTTCTTTGTAAAAAACGATACGACGTAACAGTTACACGATATGATTTGTTTTTAGACTGCCCACTGTTACATTCACGCTGCTGCACTGGTCGCTGAATATTTAAAAAGACAAGGTAAGCTGTAAGACCGTAAATTACAAATAAGCAATCTATCAATCATAAAAATGATATGACTTTCCGTTGCCTCTCGGCTAGCGGCTTTTGAATAAAGATTCCCAAGTAAATCACACTGAAACGTGATGAGATTCAGATTAGGTTTCAAATTTCTTGCGAGCTAAAGCAGACACTTTCTGACTACCATTTATCATTGTCTTTGAATTTTTTTTTCTCCTTTCCTCGGAGAAAATCAAGGTGGATCTATGGTAGTGAAAAGTTGTCCGGAGAAAGAAAAAGAAATTTGTGGCGGTGGAAAAAACAAGCCGCGACAGAGTTTAAACTCGAAGGAATAATTTACAGATATAACAACTTTACTTAATTCCATATCCAATTCTCTTTTCGTGTGTATCTCAGGTGTTTATCACGAAGGTTGTAAAGCGTTTGCCAACGTGTCGCCGAATGTTGTAGCGGACGAAAGTGTAATGAAAACTGATGAAGGAATGACAATGGAACAGAAGTACACAAAGGTAGAAGTTTTTTATCGTTATCCAGGTAGTTTTGAGATATTACCCAGGTAGAGTCAAATCTTGTTATTGACGAAGGTGAATTAATTTTCCCCACCGTAGTAATGGGCCACTCAGTTTTGACCCACCCGACCCATCAGTTGTTGAGGCGACCAAGGGTTTAGTCGTTGAAACATAGGCTCGGTTTCTGCCACACTTTCGATTGCGGTCTCATTTCCCGAAAAGCGTTGTATTCGAAGGCCGCCTACGTTAATTCAGCCACTTAAAACGAAAATCGTCAAGGAAAATCTGTTTCTTGTGAATTTTCCTCTTTGTCGTAAATCATTAAAAATCACGAGGAAACGATTTAGAAATCAAGATTAGCAAATATCCAAGCAGATGAAAACTAAATGAAAAGCTAAAGTCCAACTTCATCCCCTTTACAACTATAATTTCAGCCTCCCGGTTAGCTCAATGGATATAGCGCTGGACTGTTGTGCGGGAGGTCGAGGGTTCGAGCCCCGGCCGGACCAACACTCAAGGTCTTAAAATAATTGAGAAGAATTTGCTACCTTTCTATAACATCAAGAAATGGTTAGATATTCTAGTCTTCTCGGATAGGGACGAATAAATGGAGGTCCCGTCTCCTGCAGGGTTGGGGTAGGAGACGTTAATTTCCCACACACGAGATTACTGTGTGATGGATGTCCTCCCCTGGGGTGGGATGGGTGGGATATAGGGCGCACTTAATTTGGAGCCTCGCTCTGTTGTGCGACCCTCACCACACTCTGGTGAAAGTGATTAAATAAATAAATGATAAAAACTATCCAAAACAACTGAAAATACAAAACAAGTGACATGGAAAACAAGATTTTACCCAAAACTACTGTTACCTTTGTAATGAGGCCAGTCTTTAAAAACATTAGGATCTCTCAGCAAATGAAAAACAGTAGAAGCTGCCATGATACTTGCAAAACGTTTCCAAGAACCTTTGGTGTCT